GGTTTTCATGTTGGTTTTAGCCATACCGTACCACCATTGGACTTTACCGGCTAACCGGATTGGTTTTGTGGTTTTCTACTCTCTCACCTTTTTCTTCTCCAATTTTGGACCTAACGCAACTACGTTCATTGTCCCGGCTGAGATTTTTCCGGCGAGGATTAGGTCTACTTGTCACGGTATCTCGGCTGCGTCGGGTAAAGCCGGTGCGATGGTCGGTTCTTTCGGGTTTGCTGCGTTGGTTAAGGCTTTGGGTATGAGTAATACGTTATACATCATGGCAGGAATCAACTGTGTTGGCTTTCTTATCACGTTAGTTGCAATTCCGGAGCCTAAGGGGATATCGCTTGAGGAGCTTACGGGCGAAACTAAACCGGAGAAAGTCCAGGAGAACATCGTTGTTTAGATTTTTATTTTCTTTTTGTTTTGCTTCATTATCTTTTTTTTTTTTCTTTTTGTCATCCAAAATTAATTAGAACTCAAAAGACCCATTCCTGAGGAATGTTGTTTACATAAGTGATATGAAGCGGTTTATTATCGTATTTTGTTAGGATTTTTTTTTGTGTTTTGTGACTTTGCCAGATTTTTAGATCTTTTTTTTAGATTCTATTGTCGCTCGCTGAGTTTTCATTAATCAGTTTTTTATATCATAAATAAAAACTGTTATTAATTAGAAGCTTTTATCCAAAGTAAAACAGAGATATTAATTTGATATTTTTTTCAAATTAAACATCTTTAGTTGAGCGCGTAATCTAATCAGAAGAAGAATCTTTAATATCTTGCTTGGAACCGTTCCGATAGAAAATGTTGACCATTGGTGGTGGTGGTGCATATGCCGTTTACTTTTCCGTTATTGGTCCCAAAGCTTAAATTTGAATTATTTCTTGTAATGGTGCAAATGATGTCGAGTTTCCACAATTTGACGAATACCTCTCAGTCAAAACTCAACAGCTTCGTCGTTCGCTACACCTTCCAAGCCACAATTTATAGTCTTTGGAGGGAAAGAAACGGTCGACGTCATGGTGAACCAAAAACCTCGGCTGCAAATCTAAGTCGTTTCATTGATAAACCAATACGGAATAAGCTCAGCCTTCTCTGACACCAAAGTGGGTTTGAAGGAGGGATCCAATTCTGGTTCCAAACTCATCCATAATCTTTTGTGATTGTTTTCAAATCATCATCTCTAAAACTCAGCTCACTATGAAGCATTTATTGTAATAAAGTCTTTTTTTGTTTGAATATAATTTTACATTCTTTCAGAAAAAAAAAAAAAAAAGAGGTCGAGTTTCCAACAAATTTCGATTATGGATTAATATTTGAGATGTTTCTCGATGAACTCGTTACATACCATATCAGCATTTCTCAAACCCGAAGACCATGCTTTGGTTAGTAGCGCGTTGCTCGGTTTCCTAGCCCGAGCTCATATCGATTGAACATCTCCAACTATTTCAATCGTGGTTGATGTCTTGCTGACAAAAGGAACCAATAAATTTTCAACAATTTGTTTAAGAACTTTAAATTAAATATTTAAAAGCTTATGTTGTGTATACATGATACGATTTAGTGCGTTAACTACGTTTTTGTTGATTAGATTCTTAAGAGCACATTCTCTATTGGTAAGAGAGTTGAGTCTCTTACTAATATTTTAAATATAAATTAATTGTGTAATCAAATTTTATATTATAAATGAAGATTGAACTAATCATGTGATGACACATGTGATCATGGTCTCTTAAGAGTTTCACAAAGTATCTCATTTATTTTTCTCATTCTCACGACAAATACTCCGAACTTAACCAAGTTGATCTGCCTAACTCCAAAGAAACTCTTTAACCTTAGTTATGCACGTCTTTCACTAAAGCATGACACCCTACTCTAGTTGGAATAGAGTCCCATAAAACAGTCCTTGACAAATAGATCACAAAGACTCCAGCTAAATATCTTCACTTGGATTCGGAATAATTAAAAAAAATTATAATACAATGAGTAATTGCACTATATGCCATAGGACCGGAAAATAATTAAGTCAAAGGAGAAGTGACAAATATGTAAATAAAAGATTTCTAGAAACATGGCAAATAGACGAAACTACCCTTAAAACTACATACATTATTCCTTGTTCATTTCTTTTAGATTTCTCTTCTATTCTTATCATTTTTTAAAAAAAATTTCTTACTTTACGAGAAACTCCAAACAAATTATTCTCCTTAATTGTGAAACTAATTGCAATCTAAATTACGATATTTTGAATTCATTAAATCAGTTATATTTTTCTGATCATAATGCACTCTCTCAACCTCATAAAATTGTTGTCATAGAAACGTTGCGGATTTGGTACCGTACATGTTATCATTGTGCATATGTTGGAGATGATTTGAGACACCAACAAACTGGCGACGATGTCGTTGATCAGTGATGATTAAGCCTTTTTGTCTCCCAATTTATTTCTCATCACAATCTTCCTCTTCTACAGTCACCAACATACTCTCCTTCCATTGACTACCATCACCTCCTCTCCCAGTGCAACATATTCTCTATTTACATCACCATCACCTCCTTCACTACTAGCATACAATCCACCATACCAACCACAATCTCCAATTTATTTTACTCACCTTCCACATCCACCACAATCTTCCACCGTTACTACCGCCAACAGACTCTCCTCCCATTATCACCACTATATCAAATATCAATATATCATGATATATATTTATAAGCTTTGATATATATTTATCGATCACGAAATCTTAACATATATCATAATATATATTGAGATATCATATATATATATGTTAATTATGAGATATATATATATATATATATATATATATATTGATATATTATGATAGATATTGATATATTATATATAAACAACAACAATATAATACTACGATGTATGATATATATCGATGTATATATTAGTAAATCTTGTTATATGTTTATATACCATGTTATTTATTATCAGAACAATGTTACGAGATAAAATAATTTGTTTTATTAGATATGTGGCTTAGAGCGAGTACTGTTCAGACTTCAGAACAGGGGCAGATCTAGAAAGAATTCTATATGGGGCACCATATATATAAATAGTACTAAATAAAATTTAATTAGCTAAATTATATTATGATTATAAAAAATAATACAAAAGTGATAGTTTTGAGACTTTAACTTGGGTGGGTATGGGGCACATGCTAACTATATTTTACTGTAGAATGATATTTTATATAATATTTATAAGATTTAGTATGGGGCACATGCCCCACCTAACTCTAACGTGGATCCGCCCCTGGTCCAGAACAGCTTTTTGTAGGTTTTGTAATAGCATCTGACTCATTTGTCTCATACGAAACATGGAGAACAATTTTTTTCACCATAGGATTAAGGGTATTTTTGTCTAGAAATGTGAGAGAAGAATTTTCTTTCTCTGCAAATAACAAAAACATGTTGTTTATTTCTTGATTCTTTTCCAAAATATGTCAATGCACCTAATTGACTCTAATAAAATCTTGTCATAATCGGAAGAAAAGCTCTTTCTCTGAGATAAGAGAGTGTTAAGAGAAAGAAAGTTTTTCTTTAACGTCCAAATTGATATGGAAAACAATAAAGATTAATACAAGTGGATTTTGAGATTGAACCCATCAAGCTGAACTTTAACATATTAAAAGTAAAACACAAAATATCTACTAATATTTTATACATTAAAATCTAACTTAGTACATGTGTGTGGTATGGAGCTTGATCTCTGAAACTTGCTGACCATTTTTTTTTGTACAAGGTTAAATTTTATATCATTTTCAGATTTTTTACAATACATTGGTGATACAACTTATTCAAACAAAAGAGAAGCTAGAAGGAAAAAGAGATACAACTAAAATAGAAAGCAAGTAAAAAAACCGAGGTAGAAGAAAATCCTAGGAAAGAAAGGTAACGGTCTCGGATGGAGCGATCCAAAGCAGCTTGAAACACTAAGCTAGAAGAGATAATGGAGCTGAAAATCCTTGAATTACGCTCCAGCCAAATGAAATAGCACGCCGGTTGTAGGAGTTTCTTGATGGTGGTGATAGCATAGGAATGGACCGGAGGTTGTGTCTGCAAAATCCAGAGGAGATAAGAGAGAGTAACTAGGTGGTTAGGAAAGATCCTCGAAGCAAAAGTGTGCCAAATTGTTTTTGAGTAGGAAGACACAAAGAAGAGGTGGTCGTGGGTTTCTATTCCGTTGGAACAGAGCACACAAGCTGCAGGGATAGTCAGTCCCCAGCCGCGTAGTCTGTCTTTCGTAGGCACTCTTCCTTTCATAGCAAGCCATTGTGGAAGTCGAAACTAACACAATCAAGATTTGTCTAGAGTTTTAATTTAGGGATACGATTTGCGAGAATTCTCAAAGAACGACAGAACAGATTGAAACCAAAGATGCTGTTCTTGATATTATTGAGAAAAAGATAGCTTTGATCGTACAAGAGTCTGATCGTAAAAGATAAAAGGTGTTTGTGCTAAAGAGCTTTGTGTAGGATGAATTCTAGAGCCCCTCCCCATCTGCGAGAGCATTGAGTCTCTTTATATAAGGGTGATAAAGTGATTAGGATAGTTTCCTTATTCTTCGGAGTCTTTTGGAAGATTTCCTGATTTGAGTTGATCCTTCGTGATTCTTCTTTATCATTTCCGGGTTTGTCGGAAATGATCCTTCTTTTTCGGAAATGATCCTTCTTTTTCGGAAATGATGCCTTGCTTGGAAATGATACTTTTAAGACGAATATTTACTAAGTCTTTACCTCGTGTGATGATGAAGACTTCGCCTCGGAGAACTTGCGCAATCGGCTCAGGTACACAGGAAGGACTGGCTCGGGTACTCTAGGATGACTTGTTTGGGTACCCCCGAGGCAATGGGCTCGGGTACCCCGAGGCAATGGGCTCGGGTACCCCGAGGCAATGGGCTCGGGTACCCCGAGGCAATGGGCTCGGGTACCCCGAGGCAATGGGCTCGGGTACCCTAAACTGATTAGATGGATAACCCGAGGTGAATGATGCGATGCCCCGAGGTGATCACTGAAAAACTCCCGAGGTGCTCTAAGTCTGGCTCGGCGCCAAAGGATGGAATCCGACCCCAACAGTTAGCCCCCCAGCTTGTTAGTTTGGAGAACCAAGCGTGACGAGCTTTATGACAATTGGGCCGAGCCGTTTACTTCGGTCGGTTCGGCACCTTCTTTGTTTTTGGCGATTCGAATTCCTCTGTCGTTTCATCTTCTCTTGGCGTGTGACGGTTGGGATTCCTTTTCGAGAAGTGGAAAGGTCCTTCGCTGATTCCCGAGATTCGTGCGGATGTGAAGTATCCTATTCAATTCGCGCGTGCCCGACGCGCCTTAGATGTGGACACGATGTGTTTTATTCGGCTCGTTCGTACCCGACGCGCCCTAAATCCCTATAAATGTTAAGTCTCCGACTCATTCTCTCATTTCGCAACTGCAAAGGAAAATTTTCAAGGTTCGTTCTCTTCTCTCTCTGATCTTGAGCTCTTCTATTTTATATTTTTTCCGTATACTTCCGTCATAGCGCCACCGTTATTAGATCTAGGGTGATTTCTCCAATCTGCCAAGCTTTGTTCTTCCGATCAATTTCTTCAATTGCCCGAGCTAGAAAATGTCTCTCTCTGATTCCAGTGATACGCCGCGAGGCGACACTCTTCTCCCTGTCTACAAGAGAAAAATGGTCTGGAGTTCTTCGAGAGACCCCGAGGCGGACACCACAGACCGTCAGATCGAGTTGTACTGCGGTAGTAATGCAGAGTCGGCCTCATGGGAAGAAGACCCGAGCCGTTTCATTGCTCGGGAAGACACGATTGCAGATGTGGCTCGGGATAAAGATTTGCCTGATGATCCCAAGGCGATTTTGAATAGGAGGGGGGTCCATCCACCGGCAGTTGGTGAAGCTGGAGTCTCGCACTGGCAAAATGCCCCCGAGGCGCCTCTACTTCCTATTATGGCCGAGGAGGTTCATTATGACTCTGACAAGGCGGCCAAGTTGCTTCAAGCTAAAGTTCAAGCAACCAAGGGTCAACAGAAGAGAAAACGAGCCAAGAAAGCTAGGAAACCCGATCCTCTGGGTTCCACCTTATGCACGGAGGATTCCCTTCGGGATCTCAAGGCCCGATTCGGTTTTAGCTAGGGGATTGAACTAAGACTTCCAACTCCGAATGAGCGAGCGGATGATCCGCCCGAGGGGTTTTTCACCCTTTATGAGGGGTTCTTCTACCACTGCTACCTCTGGCTTCCGATTCCGAGGCCTATATTGGCGTTTCTATGGTCGTACAAGATTGCCTTATCTCAGATCACAACCCGAGGCCTGCGCCATCTTGTAGGGATTCTGGTCCGAAGTATCGAGACGCTCAACATTGTGGACCTTAGCCACCTAAGGAATCTGCTAGAACTCCGGCGCATACCGGGACCTGTTGAGAGGTTTTATATTTCTCCGAGGCCGAATAGGAGGGTTATCGGCGGGTTCCCAAGCAAGGATGAGAAATATACCGACCACTTCTTCTACGTAGCCTTGGATGAGTATAGTGTCCATGAGGACTACTTAGGGAAAGTTGTTGGAAAGTGGAGAAAAATCGGTATTATACCTGAAGTCGTATTTGCTGTTCCGCTTTATTTTAAACTTCTTATTGACCATTTTCTTGTTCGTGCAGATCGGAACCCGTCGTTTCTCGAAGACATTCCCAAGGGCTTTCTAGATCTTCACGACGAACTAATAGCTCGGAAGTGTGACTGGACGAAACACTTCTCCCGAGATAGAATTGAAAGGGCCCTACGTTTGTTGCACGGAGCTCATTGCCAATCCTCTTCCAAATCGTCCGATCATCGCCTAGATCATCTTATCGAGATGCAGGGTGCCGCGCAATCTTTGAGAGCGAAGAAGGCTACCGAGAGGAAAGCGGCTCGGGAGAGGGCGATACTGGAGGCAAATTTCAAACCACCTACTCCCCCCGAAGTCAGGAATGACTCCGAGGTCGCTGTTGATACCGAGGCGATCGACGGAGCTCAGGAAGACACGGCGCTGGTTGGGGCCAAGCCCTTTGACGTTTTATCGACACAAGTCCCCGAGGCGGCAGGGACCTCGGCTATCGTTGCTCTAGGTGCCGAGGCGAAGGCTAAGGCGAAGGTTAAGAGGCCCCGAGGTGATAGCTCGGGAGGCCGTAGGAAGGAGAAGAGGAGCCGTAATGAGGCTCCCATCTACAAGGATAAGATAGCCTCTGCTAATCTTATCGCTTCTTGTTCGGGTCCGACCCTAGCTGCGCCCGAGGCCTTGCTGGAGGCTGAAAATTACCGCAAAACCGCTACGGGATTCCTGACGGTATTGGTTCATCTCCGAGGCATCCTAGGCCTTTTAAAATTTAGAATTCTTGGTACTAACTTAAGTTTTTGCGTACCTGGCTTTCCATTCGATGAACTGCATGGTTCGAGCCTACGACTCTTCGAACCAGAAATACGAGACTTCCTGAGCCGAGGCGGAGGTCAGGATTGCTGAGGCCGATGCCAGGATCGTCGAGGCAGATGCCAAGAATGCCGAGGCGGAGGCCAAGATTGCCGAGGCAGATGAGGCCAGGCGGAAAGCCGAAGCGTTGGCCAAGGCAGAGAAGGTCGAGCGGTTGAAGACGGCCGAGGATGGTCTTCGCCTTCGTCGGAAATTGGAGGCTGAAGTCGAACGCTTGAACCGGCTATTCACCGAGGAGAAGTCTCTTAGGGAGAAGGAAGTAGGTCGGGAGAGGAAAGCGGCTAAAAATGAGTTCGCCAAGAAGATTGAGGCGATAGAGGCGAAGATAGACCTGTACGGGAAGGCGTCCGAGCGCTACATGTTCCTGGTCAAGGCCAGGGCTAATGCCGAATAGATTGCCGATCTTGAAGGCGGCAAAAATGTCGAAGATGAGAAGGAGGAAGTACTCCAGTGGAAAGCGGAGTATGGAGATGCTGAGGAAGAGTTTGTGCGGATTGGAACCGAGCTGCGAGAGGATCTGAGGCTTCCTCCGGCTTCTCCAGATTCTGTTGAAGATAGTTTCGGAAACAGGTCAATCGAGGGAGTTGCCGCGGGGATTGGCATTACGGATCAGGCGGGCACGAATCTGAGTTCCGAAGCCGCACATGTTCCGGAGGAGCAGGACGAGTAGATCCGTGGCGTATTCCTTTCTTCTTTTTATTTTGAATCTTTGTAAGACTTGATGCCTGGACCGCTTTATCCATTGATAATGAATGTATTTTTTGGTTTCTCGACAAATTTCTAGTCTCGGAGTTTAACTTTTCGAACCATCGTTAATCCAGTGTTTAGTACGAACTGGGGCAGCAACTGGGTTTTAGTACGTATAACTCAGCGGTTTTCGGTCAAGTAGGAGTCAAACTTCCACTGTTTTAGTTTCCGAGACGACCAAGCGAATCGTGTACCAGTGTTAAGGAAACTGGGTTTTGGTAAGTGGGACTAATATCTTTTTCGGTTGCGACCCGAGCTGATACAGTCGATTGCCAGTGCTTAGAAGCGAACTGGGATACCAGTGTCGAAGTCAACTGGGTTTTCTGAAGACAATTTCTTTATGGCAAGATATCTCCGACCGAATTGTCTTGAATGCTTATATAGCGCGCTGTAACCGAAGCGGTGAAATGAGCTCTCTGTTCGTGGACGTGGCCATCGTCCGAACTGTCGGCTTTGTGGGTCGATAAGAGGACCGTAAAAGTTCCCAAGATGAGTTTTGGGAAAGATGTCGAGGTGGATTTGAATGGAAAACCCGAAGGGTAAACTTAGAATTTATAAAATTTTAGTGGGAGTATATGTATACGGATCCACTCCCCCCCTTTTTTAATTAGGGGGGGGGTAGCTGAACTCGTCCGAGGACAAGTTGCCTACGTACCCTTTTCAGGGATCAAGCCACCCCGTAGTTCAAGTATGTGCGTACCTTAGGTTCTTAGCGATAATATTTCCTTAGATGCATTGCATTCCAGGATCTAGGTACCGCTTTGCCGTTCGTGTTGATCAGTTCGTAGACGTCGGGACGGATCACCTTTGCGATTGTGTAAGGTCCTTCCCAATTCGCGTCGAGCTTACCAGCGTTCTGTTCGGCGGTATTCTGGAAAACTTTGCGCAGTACGAGATCTCCCTTGTGGAAACGGCGATGCTTCACATGAGAATTGTAGTACCGAGCTGTAGCATTCTGATAGTTCTGCATACGGACCAAAGCCAAATCTCTTCTTTCGTCAATTAAGTCTAGTTCGTCCAGCATCATCTGAGTGTTGGAATTTTCCTGCTCGGGGAGCAAACGTCTTCTTATTCCCGGGATCTCGGCTTTGGTGGGAATTACACACTCCGTGCCATAAACGAGGGCGAAAGGTGTTTCTCCTGTGGCAAACGTCTTCTTATTCCCGGGATCTCGGCTTCGGTGGGAATTACACACTCCGTGCCATAAACGAGGGCGAAAGGTGTTTCTCCTGTGGCACGCCGCGGCGTTGTTCTGTTCGACCATAATACTCCTTCCAATTCATCGGCCCAAAGGCCTTTCTTCGCGTCGAGGCGCTTTTTTATTCCGTCGAGAATCTTTTTGTTTGCCGCTTCGGCCTGTCCATTTCCCTGAGGGTACTGAGGTGTAGACTTGCTGAGGCGAATTCCCCATTTCTCACAGAATCCTTCGAATCGAGCCGAAATGAACTGCGATCCGTTGTCTGTAACGATCTCGTAAGGTATCCCGTGACGGCATTTGATGTTCTTCCAGACGAAGTTCTTGACCTGTGCATCTTTGATGCTGGCATAGGAGTCCGCCTCGATCCATTTGGAGAAATAGTCTGTTAGTACGAGGACAAGTTTCTTCTGCTTGGAGTTTTGTAGAGGTCCGATAATGTCCATGGACCAGCGCATGAAGGGGTAAGGCGAGGTGATGGAAGAGAGGAGCTCGGCGGGTTGATGAATGGTTGGTGCGTGTCTCTGGCATTTGTCGCACCGTTGAGAAAACTTTTCGCAGTCTTTGACCATCGTCGGCCAAAAATACCCGTGGCACTTGATCTTTATGGCTAGGGCTCTGCCGCCAGAGTGATTCCCGCAAGATCCACCGTGTACTTCTTCCATGACTCTCCGAGCTTCGTTTCCTTCGACACAGATAAGGAGGGGTCCGGAGAATCGCCATTTAAAGAGTTCTCCGTTGATCAGAGTATACCGCGCTGCTTTTGCCTTAAGCTTCCGAGATGCCCATTTTTCAGTAGGAACTTCTCCATCGGCTATGTAACTTCGGATGGCTCCTATCCATTTGGTGTCGCTTCCGTATTCGGGCTCGGTCGCGTCTGTAGTTTGCTGGTCTAGCAGTTCGATGTCCATTTCTTCCGGTTCTTCCGTCTCCCGAGCTGTTAGAACTTGATCCTTGCTACTATCTTCAATGCTCGGCTTTTCAATGAATTTAACCAGTATGATTCTCTTCAGATTCGGGTCGGAGGTTGAATCTAGAGCCGCCAAGGCGTCGGCCGACGTGTTCTCGCCTCGTGGGATTCTGGTTAACTCGAACTCTCCGAACTGTTTCGCCAAGTCTTGCGTGAGGGCAAGATATGCTTCCATTCGTTCGTCACGAGCCACGTATTCTCCATTGAATTGATTGGCCACGAGCTGGGAGTCGCAAAAGGCTCGCAGCTTCTGGATCTTAAGTCCTCGAGCCAGCTTAAGTCCTGCTATGAGTGCTTCATACTCTGCCACATTGTTAGTCGCGTCGAAATTAAGCCGAAAAGATTGTTCGAGGATCTCACCCTCTGGTGATGCTAGGCGGATTTCGACGCCAGAACCTTGTTTTGAGGATGATCTGTCGACGTGGAGGATCAAAACGGCGTCGGGCGACTCTTCTCGGGTGTTTTCTGTGGGCAGCTCGATGATAAAATCGTGCAGGACTTGAGATTTTGTGCATGTTTTGTTCCTATATTCGATGTCGTACTCGCTGAGTCCTATTGTCCATTTGGCCAGGCGTCCCGACTGGCTCGGACTGTGCAGGATGGTTCAGAGTGACACGGGCGCCATGACGACAATCGAGTGGGACTGGAAATATGGCCGTAGCTTCCGAGCTGACATTACTACGGCGAGAGCGAGCTTTTCAGTTTGCGGGTAGCGTGTTTCCGCGTCGGTGAAAGTTTGCGAGATATAAAATATCGGCTTCTGCTCTCCTCTGTCTTCCCTGACTATGACTCCACTTTGCGAGACATAAAATATCGGCTTCTGCTCTCCTCTGTCTTCCCTGACTATGACTCCACTTATCGCTATATCAGAGACTGCGATGTACAGAAATAATGGCTCGCCCGGGACTGGTTTTGCCAAAACCGGTGGATTAGCCAGATACTTCTTCAGTTCCTGGAAAGCTTCTTCACAACGATCAGTCCATTCGAATTTCTTGTTTCCGCGCAGAGTATCGTAGAAAGCCAAGCATTTGTCAGTGGATCGCGAGATGAATCGGTTCAAGGCTAGGACTCTCCCGGTGAGACGTTGGACTTCGCGCTTGTTCTGTGGTGAGGGCATGTTCAACAGAGCATCGATTTTCTTTGGATTCGCCTCGATGCCTCGGTGGGTTACGAGATATCCTAGGAACTCACCCGACTCTACCGCGAAACGACATTTTGCCGGGTTGAGCTTCATGTTGTGCTTGTTGAGCTGGCGAAAGCAGTCGCGTAGATGGGCTATGTGGTCGTTTTCTTCAAGGGACTTGACTAGCATGTCGTCGATGTAAACTTCCATCGTTTTCCCGAGCTGCTCAGAGAACATCCTGTTGACGAGCCGTTGATACGTTGCGCCAGCGTTCTTGAGTCCGAAGGGCATGACTTTGTAGCAGTAGATACCTCGGTCTGTGATGAATACTGTCTTCTCGCGATCGTCAGGGTGCATGAGAATTTGATTGTATCCTGCGAAAGCATCCATGAATGATAGCAACTTATTTCCCGCGGTTGCTTCTACTAAGCGATCGATATGTGGGAGTGGAAAACTGTCTTTAGAGCAAGCTTTGTTCAGATCGGTGAAATCGACGCACACTCTCTAATTGCCGTTCTTCTTTTTAACCACGACAGGGTTCGCTAACCAGTCTGGATATCTCGCTTCGGAGATCGAGCCGATCTTCAGGAGTTTTTCTACTTCGGCATTCACGGCATCTATGCGATCCCGACCCAATTTTCTTCGCTTTTGCTTGATGGGCTTGAAAGATGGGTCAACATTCAGCTCGTGGCAGATTACGTTGATGCTTACTCCGGGTAGATCTTCAGCCGACCAGGCGAAGGTGTTGATGTTCTCCTTGAGGAATGAGATGAGCTCGGTCTTTATCTCTTCGGTTAAGTCGCTGCCGATTTCCACGCATCGTTTAGGCCGTTCGTCATCGAGACTAATGGAGATTACGGGATCCGAGGTAGGCTTCTTCTCCTCGCGCGCCTCCTCAATCTGTAATTGCTATAACTGTTTAGATATAACCTTCTCTTCACTCCGGCCAAGTTTTGATTTCTTGTGGTCGGTCTCAGCCTTTGCTTCAGTGACAGGATTTCGGAGTTTGTGTGCTGCCATGAAACACATCCGAGAATTCTTCTGACTGCCCCAGATCATTTTCACGCCATTGGAGGTCGGGAATTTGACACAGAGATGATATGTTGAGGCGACAGCTCGCATTAGATTTAGCCACGACGTCCCCATTATGACGTTGTAGATGGTAGGTTGATCAGTGACCGAGAAGTTGACTATCTTTGTCACCCCGCCGGCTCGGACTGGTAATTGGATGGTTCCAAGCGTCATTAACGTTTCTCCTGAAAATCCGAGGACTAGCCTTGGGGTCGGAATTACCTGTGACATGTCGATGTTCATTTGTCGGAGCGTTTCGCGAAAGATCACGTCGATCGTGTTGCCAGTGTCGACTAATACTCGGTAAATATCATGTCTCCTATCGCTAATGTGATGACGAGTGGATCGTTATGAAGCATGTCGAGCCCGTTCGTCTCGTTTTCCTCGAATGTGATTACATCGTTCGGTCGATCGAAGGGTCTTATCCAGTTGCTTGGCGCCTCGGCTCGGTGTTGGTAAGCTTTGATTGCCGCTACGATTTCAGGACAGTACGGCGATCAACCCATTATGGTGAGGACCTTTTGCCGTGTATTGTCTCGGTCTTCGTCTTACGTCCCCCGGGTTCTTTTCTAAGACTCCTGATTTCTTGGCTCGGGGTCTCTTCCCGGGTTGGTCTGTTCGGGCTCTGGCTCTGGCTCGAGGTCCTTAAGTGTGACGTTCGTCCCGAGCTCTCCAGCTAGGAATTTAGTTGCTAACTTAGCGCCGAGACTTCGGCATCTCGAGGTATGGTGGCCAAAAATTTTGTGGTGTTCGCAATATTCTGGATCATTGCTCGGTGGTTGATCCCTTGTCCAGGTGAAGGATTCTCTTCCTCGCCCACGGCCTCGGCCTCTGCCGCGGCCTCAGCCTCGGGGTGTGTCAATCTGGTAGTTATTGTATCCCGAGAAATTGCGCCCTTCGTGATGCGTATACATACCGCTCTCACGCGTCTTCTTCTGGACCGGAGGTATCGCTTGGGTTTTCTCGGTTTTCTCGGCTCGGGGCGCCTGCTTCGTTGGCTCATGCCTCTTTGCTAGCAGCACCATCTCCTCTTCATGGGCGACGAAATCTGAAGATCAGTGCAACGCGTCGCGAATTGTTGTCGGTTTAGACAGGTTCAATTCTTTCCTAAATTCTGATTTGTACCAGAGAGCTTTCTTCAAAGCCGAAAGAGCGGCTACATCTGTAATTCCTTCAACCTTGGCTAGCGTCGATTTGAAGGTCATGAGGAAATCTCTTAACGGCTCGGTGGGTTGTTGAGACAGGGACCACAGATCTGCGTCGGAGGTTCTGGGGTCGATGAGCACGGAGTATTGCTTGAGGAACAGTGTCGACAGCTCGTCGAAACTATCAATCGAGTTTCGTTCCAATCTTGAAAACCACTCTAATGCGGGTCCCTTGAGATGTTCCACGAATAGTAAGCATAGACCTGCATCCTTCTCCCCGGGCTTGAACCTGGCTCGGGCCACGGATATCACGAACGATTTAATGTGACACTTCGGGTCGGTTGATCCGTTGTAAGAGTCGATTTTGTTTTGAACTTCCCCAGATTGGACATCGTCGTTTCGGAAATTCTTTTGGTGAAAGGCGTATTCCAAGACTCTTCCAAAATTCGGTCGATGTTCGATGCGGAGGACGAAATGCTATGTATCTAGGTTTTGACGAGCTTCATATCAGCTTCCGCCTTGGCTAGGGAGGCTCGGATCTTGCTTAGCTCGTCTTCTCTTTCGGATTCTTCGGCCCACCTTATGTTTTCCTCGGTTTCTTCGTCATCAGTGAGGTCGGTTCGCTCGGCGGAGTTAGCTCCGGCTCGGATGCGCTCGTCTTACAAATCATCCGGCTCGTTCGTCAAGTCCGCTGCGTCTGGCTCGGTGGGCTCATCTTGACTCTCGCGTCTGGCAAGGTCGGCTCGGGTCGTGATTCTGGTGTTGTCGGTTGGTGTCGCGAACGTGAGTCTTGTTGGGTTGATGCCAGGAAAGTCCCTCCGGGCTCGTGGCGGCCGAGTCTGGAAACGCGTGGTTTTTTGTTGCCCACGGGTTGCGATTTCGTCGATTCGCTGCGCCAAGGTTTTGTTAGCTTTCTCTTGATCGTTAGCTTTCTTCTGGAATTTAACCATCATATCTTTCAGTTCGGCTAGGGTCGCTGTAATCGTTGGATCGGCTTGAGGATTTTGAGGGTTCGGAGCATTGGGGTTCCCTCCTCCGGCTGGCGGTATCTGACGATCGTCTTCGTTTACCATCCTCTCTGGTATTCGAGTCTCGCGCTCTTAGGGTAAGAGAATTCTGAAGTATTCCCCACAGACGGCGCCAAACTGTGGAAGTCGAAACTAACACAATCAAGATTTGTCTAGGGTTTTAATTTAGGGATACGATTTGCGAGAATTCTCAAAGAACGACAGAACAGATTGAAACCAAAGATGGTGTTCTTGATATTATTGAGAAAAAGATAGCTTTGATCGTACAAGAGTCTGATCGTAAAAGAAAAAAGGTGTTTGTGCTAAAGAGCTTTGTGTAGTATGAATTCTAGAGCCCCTCCCCATCTGCGAGAGCCTTGAGTCTCTTTATATAAGGGTGATAAACCGCCTCTCCAGTGATATTCTCGGAAGATTTCCATTTATCTTGAAGTCGGCGCAGAATATCGCGGATTAGGATAGTTTCCTTATTCTTCGGAGTCTTTTGGAAGATTTCCTGATTTGAGTTGATCCTTCGTGATTCTTCTTTATCATTTCCGGGTTTATCGGAAATGATCCTTCTTTTTCGGAAATGATGCCTTGCTTGGAAATGATACTTTGAAGACGAATATTAACTAAGTCTTTACCTCGGATGATGATGAAGACTTCGCCTCGGAAAACTTGCGCAATCGGCTCGGGTACACAGGAAGGACTGGCTCGGGTACTCTAGGATGACTTGTTCGGGTACCCCCGAGGCAATGGGCTCGGGTACCCCGAGGCAATGGGCTCGGGTACCCCGAGGCAATGGGCTCGGGTACCCCGAGGCAATGGGCTCGGGTACCCCGAGGCAATGGGCTCGGGTACCCCGAGGCAATGGGCTCGGGTACCCCGAGGCAATGGGCTCGGATACCCCGAGGCGATGGGCTCGGGTACCCTAAACTGATTAGATGGATAACCCGAGGTGAATGATGCGATGCCCCGAGGTGATCACTAAAAAACTCCCGAGGTGCTCTAAGTCTGGCTCGGCGCCAAAGGATGAAATCCGACCCCAACAGCCATGTAATAAAGGAGAATCGTGGTACCGTTAACTTGAACCAGACCACCTTGCTCCAAGGCGACAAAGGAGAGTGAATTCTTAATTGCTTCCGAATTTCTTTAGAAGAGAAGAATTCAACAAAAAAAATTTTTTTTTTAATGTAATGTTAAATTATATTAAAAAAAAATAGCTTTTTTGGGTACATAGTTATGTAAACGTTTAGTGAAAAACTAGAAAAATAGAAATACATGAATTTTGACTTAGTGTCTAGATGCAGAGAGTTTATTACGAATCTGTTTCTCAATCCATATGGCAGTTGCGTCGCTGAAGTTTGATGCTCTCCATGCCTCTGCCCATTACATTCTCTTCATATCGAGTGGATTGCTATTTGCAAACTGTAACGTACCAAGAAGGTGTGTATCTTTTCCAACGGAGAGTTTGAGATGCATGTGACTATTTTCCGCCAATCCGTTGAGAAGTGACGTTGAAGTAGGGGCTGCATAAGCATTTTCCAAACTTCTTACGAGTAGCGACATGTAAAAAACAGATGGTGCCTTATCTCCAAGTGATTTTGGCATAAAACACAAATAGACATTGAACCCGAGATCCAAGTCTACATTAGGTCTCCGTTTGATAAACGATTCTTCATAGAAAGCCAAGTGAAAAAGGAGTATTTTGGTGTCGCATGAGTGAACCATAATCCCTTATGCCAAATTTCAGCAAATTTCCTGACAATCGACACCATAGATAAATATCATGTCCATTTGAGATAATGGGAGTAATGGTTGTGATTGTGATCGTTAGTTGTTGTTGCACCTCAGATCGAGCACCCGTCATCCACCAATCTCCATTTCTAGTTGCCTCAGCAACAAGAGCTTCTCTCGTGACTCCTAAATCCCTTGGCCCATTCGCACCTAAATAGCTAATCAGGGGACCATGGGCAGTCCAACGGTCAAACCAGAATGAAGCATGAAAACTGTTCTCCACCTCGCAGCGCATAAAGTTCACAACATATGGCTTCAAACGAATCAAACTTTTAAGAGTCCTTGAGAGCCTTGCGGAGTCCTACTTGCTTAATCAAGCTAGACCATCTTTTACCGTAAGCTCTGTTCGTATCCATCTTATCACCGCTTTACCACCAAGAAGATCCACTTGAAAATCCTTTTACAATTTTAAACCGTCTCATCAATTGGGAACGTCTCAAGCTTTTTGGTATTGAAAATTCAAATCCTGTACTTTTTAACTCGAAATCTCAAAGATAGAAGCTCCGCCTTATGACCTAAGATCAAACTTCGTATAATAACGAAATAATTTTTGACGAAAATATTACTTTATCATTTAACCAAGAGTTAAGCAAACTTATGATCAAAAGAGAACCAATTGATAATTTGTAGGATTAGATTTAAGATTTTACATGATAAAACTAAAAGACCAAACTTAGAAGAAAACATGCTAAAATAAATCAAAGATTAATCCGCCAAAGCGGAAAACAAATTTGATTTAAAGATTAAAAAATGATCGAAAAAACAGAAAACAAAAAAACGGGAAGAAGATTCCGGTTAATCAGAAAACTCGTCCTCATTTTAATTATATCAACATGTCTAAACCGGACGTGTTGAGAGAGAGAAGTGATTAAGAGAAAGAGGGTTTAGACATGTATAATAACCTAATAAAACTAAGAAAAAAAAAGTTAAAAGGCAGGCTTAAGAAAAAAAAAAAGAAAAAAAACAGCATTTGAAAATTGAAAATTATTCCTAAAATTGATAATAACTTGGTTTTTTTTTTGACGCAAATTAAAAATAACTTGATAAAAGATATATGTTGTTTCATAAAAACGAAAAATAGATATCCAATTATAACTTTTTGATTAATTTCAATAATAAGAAGAAAGATAAACATAATTAGAAAAGATCTTCTTTTATTTGTTTTCCTCTAGATTTATTATTGAGAAGATCTTAAACCGTTTTTTTTTCCTCTAGACTTAGCTAGAAGAGATCTCAAACCGTGTTTTTTTTATTGAAGATAGAGGTGAATATACAAAACAAAATCATAGAAAGATTAGGAGTTACAAAACTTTATATAAATAGTGATAGGCTACGCTCTCTTCACAACTCATCATTCATCAACACAACACAATTACTATCTCTCTGTTTTGCTAGTTCGTGATCTCACCACAATTTTTCTTCTTCGCTTCTCATTTTTTTCCTCTAACCATGGCCAAAACAATCTTCGGCTTCGTGTTGCTCGTGATAACAACCTTCACGGTTATGTTGGGTTGTTGTTCGGCAACGGTCCACATAGTGGGAGGCTCCGATGGATGGACCGCTAAGGAAGACGACACCTGGACCGACCGTCCCGAGTACCACGTGGGAGATTCCCTGATCTTTGAATATGATCGTAACTTGAGCGATGTTACTCAAGTTTCCGGCGGTTTGGAGTACGAATTCTGCGACTCTTCTTTCCCTAAAGCCGTCTACAACACAGGCCACGATGTTGTAACTTTGAAGGAACCAGGGTCTTACTACTTCATCACCTCAAACCATACTCAATGTACATCGGGACAGAAGCTGGACGTTCTTGTTACCCATGACCCGTCGAGTCCGATTCCTCCAAAATCACCGAGCAAGATTCTTCCGTCTGGAAATATCTACAAGGTAGGCGACTCCAAAAGATGGAGCGTTTACGACAGTGAGTTCTATTACCAGTGGAGTAAAGAGAAACAGTTCCATGTTGGAGACAGTCTCCTTTTCGAATACAACAACAAAGTCAATGATGTCTTCGAGATCAGCGGCGACCTTGAATTCCTATACTGCGACCCGATTTCTCCCGTAGCCGTGCACAAGACAGGCCACGATCTCGTCAAGCTCACCGAACCAGGAATCCATTATTTCATTAGCTCAGAACCAGGTCACTGTGAGGCTGGACTTAAGCTCCAAGTTGTGGTTGGACCAACAGCCAATGTTCCAAAGTTGTCACCTTTAGAACGTCTCACAAGGTGGTTAGACTCTTTCATGTTCAATCATCACTAAGCGTCTGTATCAAGTAGTTAAGCATATGCACTTTCGTTTCCGTTTTGGTTTGAGATTAACTAATTATGGTTCTCTAATCAATTACTAGTTAAACATCGCTCTTCTTTCTTACTTTTTTTTTCTCTCTTGCTTCGTTTCTTTGGTTCTTATTTTTCACTCATGTAAAAACTGTGGAGTTTCTTCCCATTGTTATAATAAATTTTATTTTATTGGAGTAGATTGGTGAGAATATTTTATTCAATACAACAAGAGGTGAAATAACTCTAGTTTTGGTTTCATTATCTGCATTATGTTTGAATTTTATTGAAAACTAAACCCAAAAATCTGAATCCTCCCTCTTACAAACGTCAACTACACTCTTTGTTCTTCTATCCTCTTAGTTCTGTTCTTCCACTTGAGTTCTCATTCCGACAACATAAACAAACATAGAAGCATCATATTACAGGTAAAATACTCTTGTTCTAGTTCCTCTAGTTTGTTTACCATTAGTAGATTCTTGTTAGTCTCTGCTAATTACTCTGTTCGTCAACTTTCTAACATTTTTTATGGAGTTAAACAAACATGTGGGGTAGTGTAGATGAAAATCTTTTATCGTGTTAAACAAAGATTCTTGTTAGTCTCTGCTAATTACTCTGCTCTGTTTTTAATCCATTTTATAGATCTTGCTGATTTTAGCTATACATGTGTTAGTAACTTTAACTAAAACAAATGTGTCAATAAACCGATTATCAGTTTATTGACACATTTTTTTTAGTTATATATACGAGTCTTTACTTAATGAGTGAGAATGATTTAGGTAGATATGTTCTGTCTAAGAAAACATAAAAGTTTTTCAAGACTCTTCCAAAATTCGGTCGATGTTCGATGCGGAGGACGAAATGCTATGTATCTAGGTTTTGACGAGCTTCATATCAGCTTCCGCCTTGGCTAGGGAGGCTCGGATCTTGCTTAGCTCGTCTTCTCTTTCGGATTCTTCGGCCCACCTTATGTTTTCCTCGGTTTCTTCGTCATCAGTGAGGTCGGTTCGCTCGGCGGAGTTAGCTCCGGCTCGGATGCGCTCGTCTTACAAATCATCCGGCTCGTTCGTCAAGTCCGCTGCGTCTGGCTCGGTGGGCTCATCTTGACTCTCGCGTCTGGCAAGGTCGGCTCGGGTCGTGATTCTGGTGTTGTCGGTTGGTGTCGCGAACGTGAGTCTTGTTGGGTTGATGCCAGGAAAGTCCCTCCGGGCTCGTGGCGGCCGAGTCTGGAAACGCGTGGTTTTTTGTTGCCCACGGGTTGCGATTTCGTCGATTCGCTGCGCCAAGGTTTTGTTAGCTTTCTCTTGATCGTTAGCTTTCTTCTGGAATTTAACCATCATATCTTTCAGTTCGGCTAGGGTCGCTGTAATCGTTGGATCGGCTTGAGGATTTTGAGGGTTCGGAGCATTGGGGTTCCCTCCTCCGGCTGGCGGTATCTGACGATCGTCTTCGTTTACCATCCTCTCTGGTATTCGAGTCTCGCGCTCTTAGGGTAAGAGAATTCTGAAGTATTCCCCACAGACGGCGCCAAACTGTGGAAGTCGAAACTAACACAATCAAGATTTGTCTAGGGTTTTAATTTAGGGATACGATTTGCGAGAATTCTCAAAGAACGACAGAACAGATTGAAACCAAAGATGGTGTTCTTGATATTATTGAGAAAAAGATAGCTTTGATCGTACAAGAGTCTGATCGTAAAAGAAAAAAGGTGTTTGTGCTAAAGAGCTTTGTGTAGTATGAATTCTAGAGCCCCTCCCCATCTGCGAGAGCCTTGAGTCTCTTTATATAAGGGTGATAAACCGCCTCTCCAGTGATATTCTCGGAAGATTTCCATTTATCTTGAAGTCGGCGCAGAATATCGCGGATTAGGATAGTTTCCTTATTCTTCGGAGTCTTTTGGAAGATTTCCTGATTTGAGTTGATCCTTCGTGATTCTTCTTTATCATTTCCGGGTTTATCGGAAATGATCCTTCTTTTTCGGAAATGATGCCTTGCTTGGAAATGATACTTTGAAGACGAATATTAACTAAGTCTTTACCTCGGATGATGATGAAGACTTCGCCTCGGAAAACTTGCGCAATCGGCTCGGGTACACAGGAAGGACTGGCTCGGGTACTCTAGGATGACTTGTTCGGGTACCCCCGAGGCAATGGGCTCGGGTACCCCGAGGCAATGGGCTCGGGTACCCCGAGGCAATGGGCTCGGGTACCCCGAGGCAATGGGCTCGGATACCCCGAGGCAATGGGCTCGGGTACCCCCGAGGCGATGGGCTCGGGTACCCTAAACTGATTAGATGGATAACCCGAGGTGAATGATGCGATGCCCCGAGGTGATCACTAAAAAACTCCCGAGGTGCTCTAAGTCTGGCTCGGCGCCAAAGGATGAAATCCGACCCCAACAGCCATGTAATAAAGGAGAATCGTGGTACCGTTAACTTGAACCAGACCACCTTGCTCCAAGGCGACAAAGGAGAGTGAATTCTTAATTGCTTCCGAATTTCTTTAGAAGAGAAGAATTCAACAAAAAAAATTTTTTTTTTAATGTAATGTTAAATTATATTAAAAAAAAATAGCTTTTTTGGGTACATAGTTATGTAAACGTTTAGTGAAAAACTAGAAAAATAGAAATACATGAATTTTGACTTAGTGTCTAGATGCAGAGAGTTTATTACGAATCTGTTTCTCAATCCATATGGCAGTTGCGTCGCTGAAGTTTGATGCTCTCCATGCCTCTGCCCATTACATTCTCTTCATATCGAGTGGATTGCTATTTGCAAACTGTAACGTACCAAGAAGGTGTGTATCTTTTCCAACGGAGAGTTTGAGATGCATGTGACTATTTTCCGCCAATCCGTTGAGAAGTGACGTTGAAGTAGGGGCTGCATAAGCATTTTCCAAACTTCTTACGAGTAGCGACATGTAAAAAACAGATGGTGCCTTATCTCCAAGTGATTTTGGCATAAAACACAAATAGACATTGAACCCGAGATCCAAGTCTACATTAGGTCTCCGTTTGATAAACGATTCTTCATAGAAAGCCAAGTGAAAAAGGAGTATTTTGGTGTCGCATGAGTGAACCATAATCCCTTATGCCAAATTTCAGCAAATTTCCTGACAATCGACACCATAGATAAATATCATGTCCATTTGAGATAATGGGAGTAATGGTTGTGATTGTGATCGTTAGTTGTTGTTGCACCTCAGATCGAGCACCCGTCATCCACCAATCTCCATTTCTAGTTGCCTCAGCAACAAGAGCTTCTCTCGTGACTCCTAAATCCCTTGGCCCATTCGCACCTAAATAGCTAATCAGGGGACCATGGGCAGTCCAACGGTCAAACCAGAATGAAGCATGAAAACTGTTCTCCACCTCGCAGCGCATAAAGTTCACAACATATGGCTTCAAACGAATCAAACTTTTAAGAGTCCTTGAGAGCCTTGCGGAGTCCTACTTGCTTAATCAAGCTAGACCATCTTTTACCGTAAGCTCTGTTCGTATCCATCTTATCACCGCTTTACCACCAAGAAGATCCACTTGAAAATCCTTTTACAATTTTAAACCGTCTCATCAATTGGGAACGTCTCAAGCTTTTTGGTATTGAAAATTCAAATCCTGTACTTTTTAACTCGAAATCTCAAAGATAGAAGCTCCGCCTTATGACCTAAGATCAAACTTCGTATAATAACGAAATAATTTTTGACGAAAATATTACTTTATCATTTAACCAAGAGTTAAGCAAACTTATGATCAAAAGAGAACCAATTGATAATTTGTAGGATTAGATTTAAGATTTTACATGATAAAACTAAAAGACCAAACTTAGAAGAAAACATGCTAAAATAAATCAAAGATTAATCCGCCAAAGCGGAAAACAAATTTGATTTAAAGATTAAAAAATGATCGAAAAAACAGAGAACAAAAAAACGGGAAGAAGATTCCGGTTAATCAGAAAACTCGTCCTCATTTTAATTATATCAACATGTCTAAACCGGACGTGTTGAGAGAGAGAAGTGATTAAGAGAAAGAGGGTTTAGACATGTATAATAACCTAATAAAACTAAGAAAAAAAAAGTTAAAAGGCAGGCTTAAGAAAAAAAAAAAGAAAAAAAACAGCATTTGAAAATTGAAAATTATTCCTAAAATTGATAATAACTTGGTTTTTTTTTTGACGCAAATTAAAAATAACTTGATAAAAGATATATGTTGTTTCATAAAAACGAAAAATAGATATCCAATTATAACTTTTTGATTAATTTCAATAATAAGAAGAAAGATAAACATAATTAGAAAAGATCTTCTTTTATTTGTTTTCCTCTAGATTTATTATTGAGAAGATCTTAAACCGTTTTTTTTTCCTCTAGACTTAGCTAGAAGAGATCTCAAACCGTGTTTTTTTTATTGAAGATAGAGGTGAATATACAAAACAAAATCATAGAAAGATTAGGAGTTACAAAACTTTATATAAATAGTGATAGGCTACGCTCTCTTCACAACTCATCATTCATCAACACAACACAATTACTATCTCTCTGTTTTGCTAGTTCGTGATCTCACCACAATTTTTCTTCTTCGCTTCTCATTTTTTTCCTCTAACCATGGCCAAAACAATCTTCGGCTTCGTGTTGCTCGTGATAACAACCTTCACGGTTATGTTGGGTTGTTGTTCGGCAACGGTCCACATAGTGGGAGGCTCCGATGGATGGACCGCTAAGGAAGACGACACCTGGACCGACCGTCCCGAGTACCACGTGGGAGATTCCCTGATCTTTGAATATGATCGTAACTTGAGCGATGTTACTCAAGTTTCCGGCGGTTTGGAGTACGAATTCTGCGACTCTTCTTTCCCTAAAGCCGTCTACAACACAGGCCACGATGTTGTAACTTTGAAGGAACCAGGGTCTTACTACTTCATCACCTCAAACCATACTCAATGTACATCGGGACAGAAGCTGGACGTTCTTGTTACCCATGACCCGTCGAGTCCGATTCCTCCACCATCACCGAGCAAGATTCTTCCGTCTGGAAATATCTACAAGGTAGGCGACTCCAAAAGATGGAGCGTTTACGACAGTGAGTTCTATTACCAGTGGAGTAAAGAGAAACAGTTCCATGTTGGAGACAGTCTCCTTTTCGAATACAACAACAAAGTCAATGATGTCTTCGAGATCAGCGGCGACCTTGAATTCCTATACTGCGACCC